CTTCCTGGAAAGATCTGGGTGGTCACAGGGATACAGGAAACGGAACTGGATAGTGCATGATGAAACAGCATGGTTTTTCTAGCACCTGCCTCCTTGCATCGTTCTGAGATTAGGGCAGAAGTATTGCCAGGCCAACTTCATTTGATGAGGGAACCTTCTCGCTACTCTCTCTCGTCTAGTCAGAGGCAGTTCACTAGAAGAAGCAAAGCCAGGCATGGAGATATACACACGCAACAGTCCATGTCAGGGACCCTTGCCCTTTCTGTGGCAACTTCCCACATAACAGTATAAATCAGAAGCCGGGATCCTCAAACCAGGGGACAAATTTGGCCCTCATGGGGTCCCAATCTGTCCTTCTGAGGTTCCTTAGAGGGCCTTACTTCCTCTGCCCCAACCACTGACCATACCGTGGCTTCCTAAGTTTCTCCCTTCTGAAAGATTGAAGGGCCTTTTCTAAGGCTTGGTGGCGAGAGCTTTTCGCAACAGGATGTTGACACATTTGGCCCTTTTGCTGAAAGATGTTCTCAGTCCTGGTACAGATGAAAAGCCACAACCCTATTTGGTGGAGCTGCTTTAATGATTTGCTTGCATACAACTTATGGTAGGGTAACGGTTAAAGTGTGGGTGTCCATCTATGTTACAGTTCAGCTGGGGTTCCCGACAGCCTCCCCATCAACAGAGACCAGCTGTGCCCTCTGACAGCAAGGCCTCCCCGGGCACCCACACAGAACAAGGTGATGAGGCAACAGGAGGACTTAGATACTCAGCAGCCCACAAGCTTCAGTGTCCACCTGGAAATAGGTGCAATCAGGTTGGAAGTCTCTGCTCTCAGCACATGTGATTATATGTCTGTTCATTTCTTGTTCTTAGACTGGCCCTGTGTCCCCCTTCACAGAGGACAGTTCTATTTGAAGGTATTGTGCACTGGAAGGGGAGTCCTCTCCATGTCTGTTTAAAGTCAACAAACCCTAAAGGAAGGAGCCTCAAAGATGTCCATTAGCACTCATTACCTGGAGAACAGCCACTAGGGTGCGATGTCCTATTATCCTGTTTCAGTTCTAGTAATTATTTCCACATTTGTGTCTTGACATATGAATGAGTAAATGCACCACCTTTTTTTGGCAAGATGTAAATGGCTATTGTCTTTGTGTATTTCTTATAAACGTTGATGTATAGTTATATATGCTTTTATCATTTACATAAGTACATATCTTGGCCATACACACTTCTGCTGATCCTGGGTTTAGGCTTGTAGTATCTAAGGGCTGCGTGCAAATCAGTAGATTTTGGGGTGCAATGTAGTGCTAATGTGTGAGGATGAAGCACCAGGCTGTGCAAGCGTGTCTCTTTTTCTGATCGTCAAATCCAATGTATGAGTTACAGCTCCTCAGATACTGTCTTTCTTTTACATAGAGAAACGTGTATTCAAAACGTGTTCTCTGCCTACTGTGGTACAGAATGACCTCAGCAATATGGATGGAAAGAGACAGCTTTTTAAATGTCTCCCTCTGTGCGCACATACACTTCTAGATTGCTTGGTGAACTGGCATTCATGCACTGGGATATCTTTGTTTCGGCTACTACTTAGGGCACGCTCCAAAGCATACTGGGAAGTGCCAGACTTTTTTTTCTGTCTAAACATGCATAAGATTGTGCCCTAAGTTTTAGCATCCCTGAACCCAGCTGCACTCCCATTTTTTCACCCCCCCCCACAATACTTTTTTTCTTGCAATCTGCCAGGTGAGAGTATTCCTGTCCAGTGTCTGTTGCACTTGTGTGTATAATAGGAATATTCCTAGTCTACAGGAAGGACCACCCAAATGTGCAGCATGGAATGAAACTTAACAAGGTTTAGCTGGATGCACCCTTAGTGTATTCAAGTTTTGCTTGTGTATTTCTCTTTATGGGGTAAAACTACCAGAACCTTTCAGCACTCAAACTCACTTAAGCAGCAAGAGGTTAAAACATTCCTCAGCAATACCATTTCAAACGGCAAGCCATGGAACCACCTGATGGGGCACGTCCACAGGACAAAAATATCCCTGTGTGGTATAATGCAGTGCATCAGGGAGGAGGTTATACTTTAACAAGGGTGTACGCAGGGACACAGAAGCCTATGCTGAGATTGTTCTATTTCGTATTTCGGATATTGCTTTATAATTGCTCGCAGAAGCTGTGCTTTCAGGCAGGAATTCCTCCTGCCTCATTTAGGGATGTTGCGAATCAAACCTTTCACCCTGAGAGTGCAAAACAGCAGCTCTTACATTGAGGTGCTCCCTTCCCCAAATATTAATGCACAAATATGTATTTAAGTTTGTGTATTTGCATGAACACATGGGTGGGTTTCGATGGTGGCTACTTCCTAAATCAGGAATGAGTGTCAGGTGTGGGTGTCCCCTCCTCATCCCTATCCCCCTCCCCCACTAGATTTGTTTCAGTTGTCCTGGTTTGTTTAAAGCAGGGATCCCCTTTCCAGACAGAGTTAGCAGCTAAGATATGAATACGTGTATCTTAGTAGGGGCAAGGCACAATAGGGTTGTGGGGGGATTAATAATGAGAATTCCCCTCTTGTCTGAAGTGGTACAGTCCAGAACAGCTCTGTTGCCTCATCTTTGTCAACTAAGTCTCAGTGTTTTTTTTTTTTTTTTTTTTTTAGCAAGAACAGAGGAAATCAGGGCACCATTTTAAGGAAGGAGGACTGCAGACACAATTGAAATTCCCAGTGGCCATCAAGCACGTATGAAAGAAGCCAGCACAGGGATAGAAAAATGCATGGGCTGTCTTTCAGTGCTATGATCTCATTATGACTGTTTGGTGAGGAATGAATATACACCACTCTTACTGTTGTAGGGAAGGACTGTAGGGCCAAGTGGAGAGTGCCCGGCATCTTCAGATAGGGCTAGGCACATCTCTCTCTGAAACCCTGCAGAACCCAGTAACAGCATCTGCTTTCTGAAAGTCCCTCTGCCCAATTTTGGGGATCCTTCTTTCACACATAAATGACTGGATGGAGTAGGCTGTGAACAATTTATGTAGCATGTTCTGGGGTCCAGCTGGGCAGCCACAGAAAGGAGGTGGTGGGGAAGCCTGTTCCCACCACTGCAGCTGACCCCACTTTAGCCTGGATCCAAACCAGTGTAAAGCATGCTGGGGAAACTATGGCTCCGACTGGTTATAATCTGATTTATAAAACCACATCCAATAGTTCCAAGTGGGGCTCTCTGGCTAGTATATGACAGTTTCCTACAATCCCTGAGTCGTCTGTTACACCTGCACTGATGTGTTTGCACGGATATCAAGCCCAGTGGGTGACTATGATCCCTCTGCAAGTCACTGGGTGTGGATCTGCCTTTCTTGAGCCTGCAGCCACTTGTAATCTTTTGGATAGTGAGGTATTTGACTGTGAATGGAACTGAGAATACTTCTGGGTGAGTGGCTTGCCCATTTGTGCCTCTCTGTGTCTGCATCTGCCACCTCTTTGGGTGGATCCTCAGGGCAACTCAGCTCCCATGTGAATGAGCCATTCCCCTACTCTGTGAGTCACAAGCAAGGGACTGGCCAGGAGAAGTCTTTGCATCCTTCCAATCAAGCTCCCATTGAAGGAATTTTCTTTGCAGGAAGACCCAGAGATTCCAGCCGTTGCTGAGGCGCCAAAACCTGCCAGGGCCAGAATGCCCAGCGAAGCCTGCGTCTTCAGTAATCCCACTCCTGCACCTGCAAAAACTGCTCTCGTAAGAGGAGGCTCTACTTCAGAATCAAAAGTGGAGAGACCACACAGTCCCAGGGGCATTCCGAGCGGAAGACGCAGGCCTGACTCCCTGCATTCAAGTGAAGAGCTTGGCTGTAACAGAGGATTCCTCAGGAGTAAGGGGACTCCTGCTTTCTAGCATCTGCTGATAAGCTGTGGCTGGACCCACTGCCAAGGCTCTGGCAGCCTCTGCTTAACAGCTGGAAGCTGAAAAAAGTTGCTGGAAACAATGCTGTTCTTTCAGGTCTAGTGCCTTATATCTTGTTTTCTGGACACAGCCTTAAGACTGAGGCTCTGTGTGACTGAACCTCGGACTCCTGCTTGCTTCTGCCTCTGGAGTCTATAACGTATCTGACTGCTTAATGTGGTTTTAACCTTTGGCTGCTCTGCCAACCACTCCTGCTTTTTAGCCTGTTCCCTGACTGGACAGAAACTGCTGTGCTAAACCATTTACCTGTTCCTTACCTTGCGTTTTGGATTGCCCTGTAACTTGTGCTAATGCTGCATTTGACCCAGTTGCAGCAGGACATTTCCTAGGTGTGCATTTGAAGAGGTGATTCTGTGCCACTTGTATGGAAATATCTCCTCACCCTACAGATTTAGACTGGCATAACAGAGCTTTCCTACTTTCCAGGGAATGTACTTCTCTGAGGCAGGGCCATGGGTAGGGGAACATGTGCCCTTCAAATGTTGCAGGACTGCAGCTCCATCAGCCCTCAGTAGGGAAGTGCAACTACTTGATGTCCTTGAAGTTTACCTTGGATTTGCCCCATTTGCAAATACAAACATAAGCAGAAGAACCACTTTCAGGGAAAGCATAGCTCTTTCCAAACCTGCATTCGTTTTAAAAAATGTGCATTTAAAATGCACACTTCAGTCAAGAGAAGGAAGGTGTGCATTTCCAGAGCACCACCAGGAATGGGGATGAGGTGGCCTGAGTTTCTGTGTTGGGCCTGGAGAGCCTCAGTGAATGTGAGCATCGCCTCTTGTCCCGTCCCTGTTGTCCATGCTGGCTGTGATTGGAGAGGGTTGCAGTCAAACAACATCTGGAGGGCCACATGTTCCCACCCCTAGCCTAGTGGTTTCTGACTGAAAATTCCTAGCACCATGTTGGACTACAATTCCCATGATCCTTTTGGGGAGAGGGGGGTTATGATGTGAACTAGGCTGGCAGTGTGGAAGCGGGTGTGGGCCCCGGGTGCTCCCGCGCGCTGCCCGCGTCAGCCTAAATTCCCGGCTTCCCTCGTCTTCCTCACTCCTGCTTGATGCCCACAGACACACCCCGCACTCGCTTCCCCTGGTGGGTCTTGACATGCTTGGCCAGGTGGTCGCTCCTCATGAACCGCTTGGGGCACAGCTGGCAGCCGAAGCGCTTCTCGCCCGTGTGTGTCCGGAGGTGCCTCTGCAGCTCGTCCGAGCGAGTGAAGCTTTTCCCGCAGTAGGGCCAGGAGCACACGAAGGGACGCTCCCCGGCGTGCCAGCGAAGGTGGGCCTTCAGGTGGGATGTCTTGCCGTAGACCTTGCCGCAGCCGGGCAGGTGGCAGATGTGCTGCTTCTTCCGGCCCGGCTCCTCGTTTGCCCCGCCGGCCACCTGGCAGTTGGGGCACTTGCAGCGGCGGCAGCGGCGGGCTGTCCCCAGCAGCCCCTTGGGGGCTCCCTGCAGGAACGCGGCCAAGGGCGGCTGGGGGCTGAGGACCAGCGGGCGGCCCAGGGAGAAGCTGCCTGGCTGCTGCAGGCTCCACCAGGGGACATCATCCGCCAAGGGGGCGCCTGGGGGAGGCACGACGGCTGGCCCCAGAGGCCGAGGGCCTTGTAAGAAGCTGGAGAAGTCCTGGGCCTCAGAGAAGGGGTAGGAGGCCGGCATGGGGGGTGCCAGCATCTTGACAGGCGACAGCTCAAAGGAGTAGGCGGGCTCTGCTGGCGGGGTCAGAGGCAGTTCGTGGGCTGTGCCGCCAGTCGTGCCAGATGCCGCCTGCCCCTGATAGGGCATCTTGGGCAGCCCAAACGCCATGGCTGTGTGGGAGCCCGATGGTACCTCATTGCTCCAGATCTGGAACATCCCCACGGACTCATAGGCTCTCGGGGTGCAGGCTGAGGAGTGAGGAGCAGTGGGTGCTGCTCCCATGAAGGCCAAGGTGGAGTTGCAGGGAGCAGCGTCCCCTGGAGACAATGTGGGGGTCCGGTCCTGAGGCAGAGAGAAAACAGCTGAGAAAGAGCACAGGCGGTACCAAGCCCTACTCTTTAACCTGGGCCCCGTTCTAGGTGTTTGGGTGCTCCAGGGACCATCTTCCCCTTCCACCCCATTACTTCTCTCCCTGCCATCACACCCCTGCCTTGTCTCTTCTTCACCCCTCCATTGCCCCTCTTCTTCCACTGCACGGCCACCCCTCACTCCTCTTTGCCCCCCGCTACCTGCATCCCCTTCTACGCCTCGTTTTGAGGAGTCCCTCTTTAAAATTAGGAATTTTGGGCAAGGTGGCCTTGGCGATCGCCTGTGCCAAAGCGACGCAAGCCATCTGTGCAGCCACCTCACCTAGACGGCCTCACTCTACGCAAGGACTCCCGGGAGCATGGCCTTTGGAGTGGGCTGGCTCTTTGGGGAAGCTGCTTGCTCACCTGGCTTCAAGGGCAAGAGGCTGAATGGACGCATGGGCATTGGAGGAAGTGCATTCACATGCACACGCCTATGTGCTGAACCAAGCCTCACCCCACTTGCATGAGCTGACAGAAGAAAGGAACCACCACGCAGCTACGCTTGGGGCTCTTGTCTCTCGGTACAGGCCGAAGCAAGTGCTGAGGCAGGCCCACAGGTGGGCTTCTGGGAAGTTAAGCCCCTGGAGATAGTTCCAAAAATGAGTCTATGATCATTGTTGGCACCACAGAGCTGAATTGGTTACAGTTTTACAGTACAAACTGTTGCGTAGAACATGATGTTAAATAATCTTGGTTTAAAATGATATTCAGAGGGCTTTTGCGTGCCCGTGGGATATTATTTGAGCAAATTAACAATTCTTAAAAGGGGATGATTTCATTTTTAGGCTTTTCTTAAGAATTTGGGAATGGAACTGATCAAAATATTGCTAAGACAGAATAATTTGACTGATGAATCTTACAGATCATGGGAGACTTGACAGATGAATCTTTACAGATCAATAAAACCCCTGTGTGATTTCTAAAAGAGTACCATTATATAAAAAATTCCCTTAAACTCATTTTATTTTACCTTGTTATTTAAAAGATTTTGCAGGATCCAGAGACAGAGTGTTAGTAAAATTTGGTTAACTCTGATGCCTTGAGCTGTGTTAAAATGAAGATACAGGAGCAGACCTTATTCTGAACATACCTGTCCTGGTAGTTTAAAACAGGTGAGAGAGCTTGTCCTTATTATGGCATATGGCCCTTTGTGTAATGTAATAAACCAGTTTTTTCCAGCCTGGTGCATTCTAGATGTACTGGAATACAACTTCCATCATGTCCCAGCCAGCTGCAGTCTTCTTGAAGGTTGCACCTCCCCTTTGGAATAGGCTCCCCAAAGAAGTCTGCCTGGTGCTTTCATTACTAGCATTTTGGTGCCAGGTGAAAACTGTTTTGTGAAATATATTTCATGAATTTTTTAATTGATGTTCTTATGAAAGGATGCAGGTGGCACAGTGGTTTAAACTGCTGTGCTGCTGGGCTGGTTGATCAAAAGATCACCGGTTTGAATCTGCACAACGGGGTGAGTTGACATTGCTCTGTCCCAGCTCCAGCCAACCTTGCAGTAGTTCGAAAGCATGCAAATGCAAGTAGATAAAAAGGCACCACTTCGGTGGGCAGGTAACAGCGTTCCGTGCACTTTGGTGTTTAGTCACATGACCACGGAGACTGTCTGCGGACAAACGCTAGCTCCCTCGGCTAGGAAACGGAGATGAGCACCACCCCCTAGAGTCAGGCATGACTGGACTTCACGTCAAGGGGAAACCTTTACCTTTTTTAAGCTTCTATATTCTGTCCATATTGTTGTGTTGTAGTATTTTATAGAGCCAATTATTTTATTCTTGGCTTTAATGAAATGCACACTGCTCAGAAAGCCCTAACAGAGCTACAGATGCAGTCTATAAATTAAATTGCTGTCCTGCAACAACAGGGGGTTGGACCTGATGGCCTTCCAGCTCTAGTATTCTATGATAAATAAATAAATGGCCAGAGAGCACCAGGTTGGGGAAGGCTGTGCTAAAGGTCAGATTCTTTTGAGCTTTCACATTCTGCTCTGCTTTTCCTCCCCAGTTCCCCCTGTTTTGTTTTACTGAACATCTAATCTGAAGAAGAATTCTGTAGAACCTGAAAGCTTGTTTATGGCTTTGTGACATTTGGGCTGGTCCAAAGAAAGATATTGCACAACAATTGCTTTAGGACTTTTTCCTTTCATGGGCAAACATGGCTACTTATACTTTTTTTAAATGTCTACATCCACTATCTCTTATTCTTACTGATATAATTTCAGTTGAATTACTGTTTTCAAGCCATGCTATAATCACCCCCCAAATGTACTTCCGTGAAATTTAGATATGAGTAACAAGCTGATATTCAACATGGTCCTATTTGGAAACAGAACAGTTCTTTCCGCTCCTTCCTCGCCTAACTTGTCCACAAATGAGCCACTAAGAGAAACAGAGATGAAGGGGTCTGAGTATGACTTCTTTTTTTTCCCTCCATGTTTGCCTAGTTTGGCCTTCAGTTTTCTTACTCGATCTCTGGGAAAGCCTTCCAAAACTACTGAGCAAGCAGAACTTGGTTGTACCTCACTGCTCTTATGCAATTAGGGGACCATGGAGCCAAGCTCCTGAGAAATCCAGGATGGAGCTAGGAGGATTATCTGTGGCTAAATTCACCAGGGCAGTAATGACATGCCAATCAAGATGGTTAGGTGTTCTGTTTTACAGAGGATGGTTCTCTTTTTGATGGGGACTTTAGCCCATGTCCGATGTAAAGATCAAGAAACCTATGATGGATGAGCAGGGAAGAACCTTGAAATTGCCTGTCCATATTCAGGACAGCAGGACTGAGCATAACACTCACACCACCTGGTCAGAACTTCCTCATGACTGTATTTCTATTTAAATAATAGTTATTTCTAAATCTGAATCTCAACATATAGCTATGCCTATGCAAATATTATGCCAATAGCTGTCATTTTTTGGTGATGCTTGAGTGAGCTATTCCCAACAGTTTTGCTTTACCTCAGTGGTGTCTCTCACTGTAACTCTTTACTTTCTAAGCCATCGGTCCTTAAACTTAGGACTGCGGGCCTGATCCAGCCCACCATGCCCATTTAACTGGTCCACTCCACAGGTTTTGCACTTGCTGGGCGGGTGCGTGGCTTGCTCATGAGGAGGTCGTTTTGGACTAGCTCAGAGAAAACGATATCCTCGTGAGCAAGCCGGCACCTGGTGGCTTGCTCACAAGGTGGTCATTTTGGACTCGATCTCCTCATGAGCAAGCCAGCGCCCCACCTCGCCTTACATGCATATCCACCCACCCCCGCCAGCACTGCCTTGGCGGCCCCCGCCCATGGCTGGCACCTGTCAAGTGGCCCCCTTTAGAAAAAGTTTGAGGACCCCTGTTCTAAGCTGTTGACTGGCTACCATTCCATCCATCCCACAGTGAAAAACGAAGTGCTCACTGCTGGCCCAAGGCAGCTTGCTACCCCAAGCAGAGCCCAAATGAAGCTCCTTGCTGTGCCTGCCACTAGCATAAACACTCTTGCTGCACCACTCAGATATAATTCCGACCTTCCTCTGCCTCTGCACCAGGGGACCAACTTGCTCTGCTGTTAGTGCCCTGAAACCACTGCTCTCGGGCTGTTGTTTGCCTTATGCAGAGCTTTGGCCCACCGCTTCTGAAACAATGTGGGGCAGATCCAGGCTGGCAGAATAGACCTGCAGTGCAGCACATTCAGGTGCAGAGACCTAACTCCAGCTGTACCCTGCCCATCATCAAAAGGGGCCTCTTCTAGCATATAAACCCGCAAATAAATCACAGTAAAAGCATGTTTCACATACAATGCAGTGGCATGAGTGTTAAAATCTCTATTAGAAAGTGCTAATGACACCATAAAGGCCCCACCCAGACTGAACAATGCAGTGATCTTTTTCTCAAATATTTAAAATTCTTCTTAAATGGAAGAAAGAGTGGTGACTGTTCCCTACTAAATGCAGGCATGCCCCTGCAATCCTTCACATACAGCAAAACATGACATTCATGGGAATATTTTGCTAATTGTTTGGTATTTTGGAGGGAGGTTCCAGAAGTGCTTCCCTGCTCCCTTTGATGCTGAGCCACACCTCTCCCGAAGTATTTCTCCCATCCCCAAAGTGATGGACGTGGTGATCTCTTGGTACCAGCTGAAACCATCCCCTGCCCATCTCTGCTTGTGTGTGGGCCAAATGTTGTTCTGTGGCATCCATTCTGAACCCTATGACCTCTAAGTGTCCTGGACTACAATGGCCTTGATGGCTGGGGCTGGTGGGTGTTGTACTCCAACACATTAGGAGGACCCCAGATAATGTGGGGCAGTCCTACAAATTTGGAGAGGTTTATTTAGACTGAAGCCCTAGAGCTGACTAAAACATCGGAAGTCAAACCAATAAGGGGAGGAAGGACCCGTTAAAAGTCAAGGAGTGATATTTGTCCTTATGATAACCAAAGGGCTTGTCTACAGCTGGGGTTTTTTGCTTGAGATGTTTCCTCACAAACTTGTAACTCTAATAGTGGACTAGAGGCAAGTCTTAGAAACTGAGGAGGAGGGAGGTACAGTGTGATTGATAAATAGCAGCAAAATCAGCACTAAAGGAGGGTGGGGACATAACATGGGTGAAGAGATTTGCCAACTGGATTTTTCTGTCTTTTTTGAATGCATTAAAGGCAGACCACAGATGCCTCCTTCCCCCCTTTCTGTTTGTTACCCTCAGATCTGCAAGGAGCTAGGCAGTTAATACTTAACTATCGCTGACTCCATGTTAAACATCAACTAAACCCCTTTGCCCTGGCTGTTCTTAGAACACTCATCTTCATCTGTCCAAGGGTTTGTAGGTA